ATTAACTAAATGAGAACACTCAAACAAAACACATACTTCGTTTCGCTTTTAAAATTGAAGTGTAACTCTGTGTGGCATCAGGGAGGCTTAAGTAAATCGGTTCGTTTACCAATAGAAGTATCGCAAAGTGTTTGTCAATAGGCGTAACATATTAACACTAACAAGTAGTGAGTACTGATACTGTGCCACAAAGTTAAGGCAGGCTTACGAAATAACATCAAATAAATTTGTAAACTTGGCATCGTCAGATGTTGAAAGGTATATACAGTTCTATTTTAAACAACGTTGATTATTTTTTAACATAATTATAAGTTTTTTAACATAATTATATGAGACCACTTTATAAACTTTCATTACACAACTTTACTTAGAGTTTTTGTACCATACTTCTACGATGAATACTTCAGATCGCGGTATAAGATTTTCAAATACCTAATATGAGGAGACGGCTGTGAACGCCAAAGGAGATAAAACTGGTAGAATCTTCTCGGCAGTATTCTTATGCCGAAAACTTATCATACTATACCGCTTGTGGATGAAAATTCTGGTTGAAGTACTAAAGTTGTAGAAAATAGTTTAAAGCATCCGCTTGGACAACTTTTTTTATTACTTATTTTGAATTTTCATCTCCATTTCCTAAGTGCGCAAAGACTTAAAGAACTCACTACTATTACGATAAGATAATAAGTAACTTATGAAGAAACAAATGTACATCTGTTTGATCAGATTTTCTAAGAATGTATCTAGAAGTCAGAGGGTAGGCGATCAATTTGCTTATCAGAGAATGTCTGTAAGGTGCTTCAGAAAAAAGATGCTCACAAAGTCGTTATCGGAGATGCAACTAAATTGTTGATTCTGCGCCGTTTGCAGTAACTGAGACTGACTTATAACGACTTGGCGCGTTTTACGTCGGGATCTTAAATTGAGGCCCTACAAAATACAGCTTGTGTAAGAACTGAAGTCACTCAAGCTTCTCAAGCGATATCGCCTCGTTCTATGGGCTCATGAAAAATTATAAGAAAGCAAATTTCGTTCAGCCATGAGTTCCATTTCTGCCTAAATGGCCATGTAAACAAGCAAAATTGCCGCATTTTGGACGAAGAACAGTCTGAAGAAATTGAAGAGCTGCCACTACATCCAGAAAAATCAACGGCTTACTGTGGTTTGTGATCGTTATCGCGCTATGCTAATCAACTATTTGATACCTGAAATTGAATGTCGTGATCTCGGCGACATTTGGTTTCGACAAGAATGTATTTAATTGTGATCAGATAGTTCCACGTTTTGGGATTGGGTTCGATTTGCAATACAAGATTGCGTGATAAAACACCACACGTGTCATTGTCGATTACTAGCTTGAAGGAGTCATCGAAAATTGTACTAAATGGATGGACCATTTGAGATGTAGCCGCGTCCATATAATAAACATTCCCCACTAAATTTGACATTCTGTGTTTTTCTTTAATAACTTGGGGAATCTCGAAATAGATTTTATATTCGTCCTCTTATTTGAAATTTTAACGCTTTTATAAGAAAAACAGTATTGAATATATTAAAGTATTGCCCATCTGAGGTTATAACATATTTCCATCTTGGAAATTAGTTGAACCCAAAAGAACTCCTTCGGCATGGAGGCCAAAAATCAAAACAATTTCTGATTTCAACCATATTCCAGTGTGAGCGTCCCACTAATGAACTAATGTTGGTCAGAAAGGATGGGATCTGAGCTATATGGCAGATGAGACAAAACTTCCCAGCCGCTGTTTTAAATATAGTTTTCGTCCGGTCTTGGAATATCAAGCAGTATCATTGTCAGGGAGAGAAACTACGGTCTCGTGTCTAGTCGCAAATTCAGGGCGTTTCCGGCAATCAGTCTCTTCAATTTGATGAGTAGTTGTCGGTAGCGCTTCCCATTAATAGTTTTCCCCTCCCTTAAAAGCTTATAATACAGAATGTCCTTCTGATGGCACTAAATGCAGGATTTACTTTTTTTGTTTCCTTGCTTTTGTTTTTCTTACCTTTGACAATTATCATCGACAAATATAGCTTTAAGCCCAATACAAATATATCCTTCGAACTAAATGGAAGTATTTAATACCCAAAAATGCGTAACTGATAACTTTGTATGAAGTTTTTTTCGCACTTTATTCTTTAGTGAAAATGTTTTGTGGATACCGTAAAAGAAAAGACGGGTAAACTTGCTGGAAAATTGATCAAACTTATAACTTGTTTTGATATCATTTAACTAACTCAACTGTCATACATTCACAACCTTATGAAAACTAGTAAGGGCTCATAAACACAGGGAGTTTCCAGAAAATACACCCATTGCACTTTCATAATTGCATACATACACTCATATATCTACTCACAAGCTTGCAGAGAGCACGCTTTAGTTCGTCGGCTTGTGCGCCGCGCATATTGAACACGCTCCATACCGCTAATGAAAACCATCAATTTTGGCAATTATGATGGGATTTTGATTAAAATTTCTTAATCAGCAGCTCAGCTTAAACAAGGGGCCTACACAAACGCGGAGCTCACAAGTGTGTGCGCCAGCAGCTAAGCCTACGCCAACTGGGCGCTAAGCTGCACTTAAATGCAAGTGTAATCACACACACATTCCCACATGCAGAGCTATGTGTGTGAACCCACTGAGCTTGAGTGTGTACTTTAAGTAGGCGATTTCGCGTTTCGGTTTTACAGGGTGTGCACGTTGCGGCTATGGGGCGGCTTTCGCTTTGGTTGTGCTGATAAGCGCATTTTACTTCAATCAAGTTAATTAGCGACTTGTGGTTTGCTTCGCTTTTGTTTTATTTACATTTAACGCGTTTAATTAGCTTTATGTTTGCCCATCTCCATATATGTGTGAGTGTGTGCATGTGTTCATATGTTTGTAGCGCAGCACCTCACTTGAGTTGTTGTTTCACCTACAGTTGTAGGGCGAAGATGAGGCTGCAGCTTGTGGCTTGCCACATCTGGCGCGGCAAGCTGAGAATAAGTGCAATTAAGTAATATGCAACGTGTGCATGTTTAAGTTCAATTTCGCTGAGGATGATGGAAATGTTTACAAATCAACACTTAAATTAACTTTATTTGGCAAATAGTAGCGGATAAAGTGAGAAGACTGATCAATTACGAAAAAAAAAAATCTATCGCAACATTGTTAGTAATGAAGGAATCTAAACTTTTGAAGGTATGTTGCCTTTTGTATGTCAGTATATGGCAATCTGGATACTTGCAACGTAACGTATGTATTATCGAAAAGTTTGACATTTTTGATGTTATACATACTCAGAACAAAAAATACATCTCCTCGACCAAAATATAAAAATAAATCGCGAACATTGATTACCCTATCAAAGATTGTCCAGATGGACTTATTGAAATTTTTGACGATTTAGCTGCACCAAGGACCAAGGTTCATCACTCAAAAACAAATTTGTTGAAGGTCGTTCACGATCAGTATTGCAAAATCGTGATGGTGCCTTTGGTGAAATTGAGACAACTATAGGTATAAGTTGAACCAACAGACTTTTAATATTGCAAGAACATTTGAGTGGATCCCACACAATTTATCAATCGCTAAAATCAAGGCATAATAACAAAATACGAAACGGTGCTTCGAAGCAAGTCTATGACATAGTGAAAGCTGTTCGATCACGACAATGCCCTTCTACCCTTTTTACCCCCGTTCGTAAAAAAATAAACAAGAATTGAAGATTCTTTTTCATTTGGGAAAATCAAGTCATGAAAATATATATGTATTATTCAACTAATTTATTTCTCATACTTAATTATATTAAAGATATTAAGCTGAATCAAAAAAAAATTTTTTTTTTGTGTAGATATTTGTTAATAAAATGCCATTTAGTAAGCCTCGAGGTTAAGATTCTGACAAAAGTTGAAAAAATATTTAATTAAAAATTACTATTGTGGCAATATATTGGTTTGTTCACAAAGCTTTGCCGTTTATAGTATATTAAATAGCAGGTATAATTAGTATAACTTCTTTGTATAAATCCATATCAAAAAGGTAAAAATTCAATTCAGGCAACGCAAACATTACTTCATTACGATGATGAAGGAGATCTGCTGACCAAACGTCAATACAAAAGTAGTTTTGCATTATGTCATTCGGGTAATTTCGATCTTGAGACCATGATCCTGGTCCTGGAAGCCGATAAGAAAAATGGAAAGTTGTTGGACGTTGCAAATCACGACCGTTTAAGAGCACATGAAACATCTGGGATTAATTTCGAAGCTTGACATATGGGTCGTCATGTTCTTAAAGAATTAAATTTTATTCGTCGAACTAACATACCATGATATGTTTATCATTAATTTCTGAAGCATAATGTTACTAACGAGGAAAAGTAGGTTGTTTACAAGAATATAAAGCCATGACCATGATATCTAAAAGAAAAGAGCCAGCTAAAACTACTTCGAAGCCTAGCGAACTAGTCATCAAACAAAGGTGGTGGGCTTTGAAAGGAATCGTTTATTTTGATATTTCGCCCGACAATACCAAATTTAATTCTGCAGAGTAGTGTGCTCAGTTGGACAAATTGAGTGATGCACTAAAACAGAAACGACCAGAATTGTTTCAAGAAAAAGGTGTGACGTTCCACCAAAATAATGCGAAATCTTATACAAGTTTGATGACTGGCCACCTGCATCACCTTCTTGGCCTGCACGGATCATGTTATGAGCATGGAATCCATCTCTTGCACGAAAGGTCGCAAAAGATATTGGAATAGAGAATATATAATATAATTCAATGTTTTAAACAATAAGAAATGGTATAACACTAAAAAAAAAAACACGAAATTAGAAATTCATAATAGTAGGCAGTATTTTTAGGCTTACGCTTACGAACATCGAAACTGTTGCCTACATTTTGGATAATTCGTCAATAATTGTATGTCTTTTTTTTTCAATTTTAATAAATAATATAGTAAATAAAAGTAACTTATATAAAATTTCGTTGATTCACTCACCCTCACATATGATGCAAATTTATCGTCTGAAAATAAAGAAATTGTTCATTTTAGTAAAAATTATACGAGTATAAACTGTGCAAAGATAACTTATGACTCGTTAAATTTACTTTTTATAAATGTAAAAAGTCTATTGGCATATTAGAACATCGATGTGATGAAATAAAATGAGCTTTAAGACAACGCCGCAATGAACTCATAACCACTACTCAACGTCAGATGCATGTATGTTTTGTCGAAAGTTTGAAGCTCGCTTTAAATGTCAAAAAAAAGCAGGGTAACATCAGAATGGCTAACAACTTTGAATGCTTTCCTTACACATCTCAACAAACATTCAAATATGCTACTTTTATGAACATGAGAACAAAGAATTTAATTTTCCAAAGGCTAAACTAGTACAATAATAAGTTTTACTAATACTTAGTTGACTCAACGTTTTTCCTGGAAAAGATAGTAGATCGATTAATATTTTTCTCATTTCAATATACTTTTTGAATTATAAAATATATTATTTCGTATATGAGCGAAGGCGGGCGACTAAAGTTGGAGAAGACGTTCGGTGAAATATATATCAAAGTTTCGTTTAGTAGATCCAAAAAAGTGGCGATTATATCACATTTGGGGTGTCAGCTAAGTTTCCTCAATAATCGTTCAATAATATGAGTAGTGGCTATATCGCTCCGACTGTGGACTACTGTATGTCCAAAAAATAAATGAACAACCTGTTACTGCCCACTGATGTGTCCACCAGCCGACTAAAAAACAGCATCCACAGTAGTTGCGGCAACATCGGAAGGGATATCAATAAAACTTTGAAGCTAAACAATTGAAACATGGGGAGCAAACAGTCTGCTCCTTTTGAGAAGCGAAAACTCAGAGAATAATACACCACAGACTCGCCAATGCTCGCAAAGCTAGTGCGCAGCATCCTAAAAAAACAGACAAGAAAAATCATGCTCTGGAGAGTGTGGTGAATAGCGAATGCCGACAGACTGTGGACGCTGATGGCACACAGCAAAGACGCAAACCCACACAGCGGCAAACATAGCAGCAGCAAAAGCAAAGCAAATAACAGCGGTTTTTCCGACTGGCTGCAAACAACAGCGCCAAAAGGTGCGCACAACTGTTGGACGCGCATGGCGGCAACAACAATTGGCCGCAACAACCGGCAAGTTAGCCCAGCCAACTGGTTGTGTTTAGTTCGAATGCAACACGAACATACACGCGAAGCGAAAAAAAACAAACGGTGAATGAAACCGAGCACAACAACAAAGGTGATGGCAGCATCACAGCAAACAAACGAAAGACGGACGAATGCGTACGCTTGGAAAACTAAACAAGCAATAAGAAGGGGGTGAGTGGGCAGGTAGCAAGTACCGCAGATTCACAGTAGGTAAAGGCAAGGCAAGCAGACGAACTGTGTCCGATGCTACCGCAGTCACAGTCGCAGCCACCGAATCTCGGTACTTTTGCGCCGCAACGCGCGCTGCCCATACGATGTTACGTACGAATGGCAGGCCGACCGGCCGCGGCGGCTGCTTAGCTGACTGACTGTGAGCGCTGCGTCTGCTTGCTGGGTGCTGATTTTCAATTTCAGTTGACTGTGAACAGGCAGCTTGAATCGACGTACACGTCGCGTATAGCTGTACCAAGCTGTTTCAAGCCACACAAACACACACAGACGCAAACGCAAACGACGCCGAATTGTAGGCGAAAATCAGTAGTTTTACGGAGTAAGAGATCGCGTGCGCGTTGAACCAATTCGAGTCGGTAGAACATTTGCGCCATCGCAAGCCGGTTAATTAGTCAGCCTGTTAATACGAGTGTCGGTCGTCATTTGTAGGGTCGTTGAGTTTCGTGAATGAAATGCAGTTGAACCTGACGACGGGCGGTTAGAAAAGTGCAAGTCGCGTGCGCATTGAGCGCGTCTTGAGCATAGCAAAACAATATTCATCATAGAAATTGATAATAAAAAACAAAAAGCATTGTGTAGCGACGAAAACGAAACGAAAGTGAAGTGAGCGTGTGTCTCGCGGTGATTGATTGATTGCTGAAAAATTGAATTATGAAATTTTACGAGTTATCAATGTGAAAATTGCGTTGCTTCTGCAAAGAAAAAATATTAAATAACAAAAGAAAAAAATCGAAGGAAAACGAAACGAAATGAAAAATTATTGCCAACGAGCAGCTTAATCTTCAGCTTGGCTACTGATTGTTGTGAAAATTCTTCTACACTTTCGTTGCGCACGTAATTCGAAAACCGTAGCGAATTTTTGAGTGACATGCCAAATCACTTTTAAGCAGAATTAGAATTACAGCGGCATGAAAAAGTGAATTTCGAAGTGAAATTAATTTGTGAATTAGAATATTTGCGTAGCAACTTGGGAAGGACTAAAGGTTTTCTAAGCGGGAGAAATATTTTTTGAGTGAAACTAACGACGAGAGATAAAAACAAATATTTCGAATATATTACAAAAAAAAATTATAATAAAAATAAATTTGTACAAAATTTCACACAACTTGAAGTTCGATTCTTATAGAAAAAAATAATACCTAAACAGCGCTCAAAAAAAGTATAAGAAAAGTGCTCAAAAAATTTTCTAAAAAAAAAAGTTCTCCAAAGTAAAATACAAAAAAATATTCAATAAAAATATATTTTAACAGTTTTTTGTAAAAAAGTGTTACGAAGAAAATCTCTCCGGAAGCAAAATTCTAAGCAGAGAAACTTCGATTACGAAAACAAGCAAATTTGAGTTAAAGTCACTTGAGCAGAAAACACGATAAAAGCATAATTAATCAGTGTAAATCTCCAAAAAAAAAGCTAAAAACAACAAATAAATATTCTCAGAGAGATAAAATTCGAAGCTTTCCTACAAACTCCAGTTAAGCCAGCAATAAAGTACTAACAAAAAACACTCAAACAGTTGCTAACGTGCCCAAATAACGGCAATAAATCTCAAAATTAACGAACGATTGAGTGATCAAACTAAACTCGCACAAAAGCATAATTGAACGACGCAAGCAAGTGGACAATTAGTCAAAACCCTACAACCTACATAATCCCCATATTCTCTCCCACCCTTGACTACCCACAGACAACAACATGCGGCGTCTCAATGCATTAGCCACGTTACTCCCACTCCTTCTGCTACTAAGCACACTCATCACTCTCTGCCGCGCCATACCGAACGATGCGTATATGAAAATGATGGCCGCCGAAACGCCCAACGATCCTTGCTACGACGACGACAAGGCGCGCCGCTGTATACCCGATTTCGTAAATGCCGCTTTCGGCGCGCCCGTGCAGGCGTCCAGCACATGTGGACTCGAGCAACCGCAACGCTATTGCGAACTGAGCGGTGCCGGCACACAAGCCAATCTACAAGATCTGTCCTGTCACATTTGCGATTACAGCAATCCGGCGCGCCGTTTTCCCGAATCCGCGCTAACTGATTTGAATAATTCGAATAATGTGACGTGTTGGCGTTCGGCGCCTGTACCGGCGGTGACAAGCATGAATGCACCACCCGATAATGTATCATTGACGCTGTCACTGGGCAAAAAATACGAACTGACCTATGTGAGTCTGCAATTGTGTCCGAAATCGGTGAAACCCGATTCGATTGCGATTTATAAGAGTACGGATTATGGCAAGACATGGCAACCCTTCCAATTCTACAGTTCACAGTGTCGACGCGTTTACGGGCGTCCAAATCGTGCCACAATCACCAAACACACCGAACACGAAGCACGCTGCACCGATTCACGCGGGCAAGTGGGCGAGGTGACTGGGCTGCAGGGTTCGCGCATCGCTTTCAGCACATTGGAAGGACGTCCGTCGGCACGTGATTTGGATTCGTCGCAAGTGCTGCAAGATTGGGTCACCGCCACCGATGTCAAAGTGGTCTTTCATCGTCTGCAAATGCCCGAACCGAATACGTTGAATGTTTTGGAGACCAACGGCGCAGATATCAAGCCGAATGGCAAATATAGCGAAGCTGCAAGCAATTCCGTGTTGATACAACAATATGGTACGAATGTGATCGAGCCGGCAACCGATGGTTTGGGCATACCAGCTGCGGTCACCATCTCGAACGCTGGGTCGGCGGCGCTCAACGGTGCCGGAGGTCTGGGCCAACATTATGCTGTGTCCGATTTCCTCGTCGGTGGACGCTGCAAGTGCAACGGTCATGCATCGAAATGCTCACCGGATCGTTACGGTGTGCTCGCCTGCGAGTGCAAACACAATACAACGGGTCGCGACTGCGAACGCTGCAAGCCATTCCATTTCGATCGGCCGTGGGGTCGCGCAACGGCACGTGACGCCAATGAATGCAAAAGTGAGTAGCAAAACAAATAAATAAATGATATGTAATGAAAAGTAGTGAATGCTGTTAAATTCATAATTCATATTTATGTGTCGTGTTTACTGTTATTATGATCACTTTTTGGTTGTTGTGTTTTTTTTGTTGTCTATTCGCTTTGCTTTGAATTATTGATGAGGGTTCTCTAGGAGGCGTCGATATGACAACTTAATTAATGTTTTATGCTAATTCAGATTACAAATGTGTTTTTTGGGGTGTCTGAGGTGTTCGAGGGTTAAAAGCAAGTTGGGAATTATTCTCTTCACATATGTACATACAAATTTATAAAAATATATGGGTACTTATGGATATACGCATATAATTAGCTAGCGTGTATAAAAGTGAGGTTAGGCTGTGGCACTGCTGTTACGCTGTGTGTTCGCTGAACGGTAGTTTTTCGGTTTGAGAAGCCCATAAAAACCATAAAAGCTTCGCGTTCGATGATATGAAGCCTCGCATGATAATTTTCGCTATTTTCTACTTGTTGTCTGTATGTATCTCTACTATGTAATCTAAAAAAGGTATTTCGCTATTAAAATAAATATGGCGCTAAACACCAAAATCCGACGTTTTTTTTTAATCGTAAACATATGTTTTGAACCAAAAATGGTCAAAAGAATCTTTGAAATTTTTATATTAATTGACAATACATAAGCTTACCACATTCAACTGTCAAAATATAATATATGGCAAAGCTTTAGTTTTGCCAACAAATTAGTTAGGAATTATATTGGGTAGTCGAAAAAGTCTTTTCATATTTATATTTATATTTATAATCATAAATAAATAAACAAATATGTGCCATATTTTTCCGCTAGAGATATTATTCGATAAGTGTACAACTTTTCTGGTTTCTCTGCGAAAAAATGCGTCAAGTAATTTTCACAGACTTTTCTCGAAGCCACCTTTACTCCATTAAGTGAATTCTGTATTGCCCAAAACAAATGGTAGTACGATGGTACAAGATCAGGGCTATATGGTGGATGTATCAATACTTCCCAACCAAGCTCTACCAATTTTTTGTCGAGTCATCAAAGATGTGTGTCGTCTAGCGTTGTTCTAATGCAAGAGGAAGCCCTTTATGTTGATAAGTTCTGGCCGTTTTTTCGATTTCTTGTTTCAATTTAATCGATTGTTGACAGTAAATGTAGAATCTATCGTTTGACCAGAGTGGAGCAGCTCATAGTGGATAATTTCTTTCCAATACCACCAAACACTCAGCATAACCTTTCGAAGCGTCAATGCTGGCTTTGGGACCATTTGTTGAGCTTCACCGCGCTTGGATCATGATTTTTTCACACATTACTGTCGTAATTGACTCACTTTTCGTCTCCTGTTACCATTCGCTTCAGAAATGGTTCGGTGTCATTTCGTTTCAGAAAAGAGCGCAGTTATTAGTTCGATCCATTAAAGTTTTCACAGACATTTCATGTGATACCCAAACATGATTTGTAGTTTGAGTATCATATATTCTTTTTGTAGCCAGCCTTTATTAAACGGTTCAAACACGTTTGATGATGAATGTTAAGTTCCTTAGCGATGCCCTGGCCGCTTATGCGATGGACCTGGTCACTCTTTTCCATAATTTCATCGACTGTTTACAGGATGGGTCGACCAGAGCGGGATGCATCTTTCACATTGAAATTTCCAGAGCGGAAGCGAGCGAGCCATTGTTGTGCTACACGAACTCATACAGTATTCTCTTTATAAATGGCTTACGTGGCATTTTTAACTTTTTATACAAGAACTTCAAGATATAACGAATTTCTTCATTATTTTCACTCATTTTTGAACAGCTTTACTTTTTTTCAACTTCCCCGAATTTAATTATTTGGTTAAATGAAGCTTAAAATCTCACCTTTCCAATACTATATATACATAGTTATGACACAATTTGATTGGTAGCGACTGCAACGACAGCTATTGATAAAATACGAAAAGAATTTTTCGACTATCCAATACAAGAGAAATCTTAAATTTTTTAAAGAAATCACTTAAGAATTATACAAATGAATTAACAATAAAATATTCCTAAATGAAACCACATATTTATTTTTGCTGTAAGAAATGAAAATTTTCACATCGATCGAACGGTTTTCATGTCAGCTAATGCTGCAGGTCGATCGGAACAATATGTTTGAAAGTTGTAACGTTGCACTAGATAAAAACTGCAAATTTCCTAAAGATATAAGAGATTTATATAAAAAATTGTTCCATATAAGAGCTTAATTCTGGTCGGTCAGTTTGACCAGCAACTGCATCGTATGGCAGAATTAGCAGCAGAAAGTGATTTGCAAACTTGCAGATCGCAAATATTAGGTTGTCAAAAAAGTCTTGCGCTGAGAGTTTTATTCGTCGCATTGAGTCATGCTATTCCTTTTTGGAAAGCTCATTTCACGCGCTAACACACGTTTGATTGATTGTCGTTTCTTTTAAGTCGTTCCTCAGTTATAGCGTTGCAAACATGGAGCAAAATAAACAGAAAATACGGAATATTTTACAGTACTACTACGATAAAGGCAAAAATGCATCTCAAGCCGCCAATAAAATTTGTGCAGTTTATGGACCCGATACAGTTTCCATTTCTACCCACAACGATGGTTTCAACGTCGAAAATTGCGATAAAATCGCTGAATTGGTCGAAAGAGACCGGCATAGTAGCAGCCGTAGCATTGGTCAAGAGCTGGGCATGAGTCATCAAAAAACATTTTATGAACAATTGAAAATTCAATAAAAATACCGCAAGCAATACCGCAAGACTTTTTTGACAAACTATTATATTATATATATTATACATTTATAAATAAATAAATAAACAATAGTAAATATTAACTCGTCTATAATCACGTAAACGGTGTCTACGCCAGTAAATAAGAATAATATTAAAACCACATTTTGTTTAATTTTTTAAATTTTGAGTGAGTTAAAATTCCAAAAGTTGGGCGAACGGCATTCAAAAACACTGCGAATCTAATCAATGCGTCGATCTGAAAATCCCACCAATTTTTCAGTAAAACATAGAATATGGTATGATTCAAGACCCATCTAAAACCTCTGCCGTACTTTGGGTACAGCACCCTGCTGCAGTGAAACTTCACATTCGACATTACAAAGTGTCAGTTGAACCCCATACGAACATCACTTCCATATACCACTCACACAAAAACTAACCCTAATTCCCACTTAAGCTCCCACTGCGGCTAGTGGAGACCACGCCCCTAACATCTAAGCGTCCATCAGTCCAGCTAATCCTCATACCCTCGATATTGCTAATGTCCGAGTACATCTGACACTCTGCAATCACGCGAGCCCAGTCTTCAAACTTGACCCCACTCAAATACCTCAAGCTGTCAGATAGGTGCCTCTATAGCAAAAATGCACTCAGAGGCACATGCCCCGTAACAAAAAAAACCCGGACTCCGACAGAATCCAAAGCCTAGGTTACCCTAAACAAACCTAACGTCAGGGATGTACTCAGAAGTCTCCCGACAGTTAGGACTTTTGTCCCAACGATCTTAACACCTACACCTGACCTCCTGCTTCCTAAATATCCCTCCCTACAAACATCATCATCGAAAGTGCAATAAATTCGCAGCAATGACATACACACCTCTAGTGAACAGTCATATTTACGTTAAACTTAGTAAAAATTGGCAATTATATTTTAAAAGTGCTTTATTTTATTGATCTTTCAATAGCGATCGCCGATCGGCATTCAATTTCAATCTTCGCGCGTACTACAATAATTAAGTGAATGACATCCGACTGTTTTGCTGTTTGCTATATCTTTTTGAGAACTTCATATATTCTTTTACCGATCTTATGAAAAGACCTATTTTAAGAGTAGTAAAGATATTTCAAGGAATAACGACTCGATTCGCTAATATTAATTTGATTTATTAGCTAGAAATCCAAAACCTGTGACGATATATATCGTCCAATTGCAGCAATAAAAAGTTCGTCATCGATCAATACAGCTCTAACAGTAACAGCTAACAGTAACAGTGTCACTAGCTTCATTTCGAAAGAAGTCGGACTAATGATTCCACCAGACCAAAAACCATACCTAACTGTCAATTTAGGTGAATGTAATAATTTGTGGATTTTCTTCCCACCAGAACGAAAGTTCTGTTTGTTTACTGCACCACTCAGATGAAACTGGGCCTCATCGAGGAATATTCTTAAAAAATCGTTATCATTTTCAAGTTGTTCCAAGGCAAAAGAAAGAGTTCTTGAATTGCAATTGGAAAACAATTATTTTGATAATAAGTAAAATCGAAAAATTTGTAAACGTTATCCTTGCTTATAAATTTCCAAGATGAATTTGTAAACATTACTGGCAATAATAAAAAAAGTTATAGATCATGACATATTAAAAATGGTCGAAACGACACTTAGAGGTCATATCATCTCTATTGAAAAACCCGATAGTTCAATCTGAATAATATATTTCGAGATGTTCTATTGTTAAAAACATACACTATTAATAAAGAAATTCTGAAATTTTTGCAAAAAAAAATATTTTAAAGTCGGCCATTGCGACACCATTTTCAGTGACTCCTCGGAAGAAAGATAAAAATTTTAAAAATACATGTTTCAGTAAAACCTTATCTAAGAACTTGGACGAGGATAAAAAAATGAAGATTGAATTTTTGGCAGAAATTTTTACACAAAAAAAAAATTTTATCTCTGTGAAAATTTCGTGAAATTTTTGTTGTAATTGAAAAAAATCCTTTGTCCACGTCTTCGAAAATTGCATCTCAAAGACCTGTGTTAAATTTCATGAAGATCCGTCGAGTAGTTCTCGAGCCAACAAATTTCGAAACTATTACCCGAATCAACTTGAAAATTTAGGACAACATTCTAGAGGTGTTGTAGATTTCATAATAAAAAAAAATAATAAAAAAATAGTAAAAAAAAATTTATTATTTGAAACTCGTAAACCTATGTAACGCCTTAAAGGCCAAAGCGCGTGC